AATAAAGATCTTCTCTCCTGTCTCTTTCTTTCTCTCTCACAGACACAGATGTTTATTTCTTCTGTCTCATCTGCTAATCTATTAAAATATGATCCTCCACTCCCTGTTTGACTCTACCTGTTAATGTATTCACCTCAAAAACACGAAAGAAAGGTGTTAGCACCCCGCATCAGGTTTTCCCCTGCGGTGGTCCACTAGCACCCTCGTCCCAGGACACGAGTGTATGTGTGTGTGTAAAAGTGTGTGCGTGCCTCCCGGTTGTAGTCAGTGCAGTGAGTAAAGCCCAGCTTTGTTATTTTCTCACCTCTGTCTCTGTCACTTTGGGCCTCCCAGAGCGGTGGCTTTCTTCATTATCACTGGAGAACGACAGGGAGAGCTAATTGCTTTGTTACCATTGTGTCTTTCACTCCGGCTCGCTATTTCTATTGCTTGTACTTAAAATATATCCAAATGTTTTTGTGTTTTTCTTTTTCTTCTGAAGGCTGATCATTTTAGAGAAAATTGTTAAGGTGCAAAAATATCATTCTAACCCAAAATACTGTCAGAATAGTGTTTACAGAATAAAAAACAAGAGAAGCCAAAAAAAAAAATCATATTAAGGCAGAAAAGATTCCAAGATTTTATTTTTGTATTTTATAAAGTTTCTTCTTTATTATTTTTCATACATATACAGTGTGTACATGTATCTACAATCAAGGTTTTCAAAGTGGGGTCTGTGATGCATATCCAAGGAGACTGTGATCTTCTAGGTTTGTTACAGTGGTGGAAATCACAACCCGCCATTATCAAAGTTATATATATATATATACATATATAAAACTTTATGATATTTAACATCACATATATATACAGTATTGTGCAAAAGTCTTAAGCACATGCAAAGAAATGCTGTAGAGCAAAGATGCCTTCAAAAATAATGAAATTAAATGTTTCTACATTAAAATAAAATACTATAAAGAGCAGTAAACAGTAATAAATGAAACAAAGTCAATATTTGATGTGACGATCCTTCGCTTTAAAAAAAAATAGTAGTCTCAGGTACAATGTGTGCAGTTTTATAAGGAAATGAGCTGTAAGTTTTACTGAGCATCTTGCAGAAGCAGCCACAGTTCTTCTGGAGACTTTGACTCACACTTGCTTCTTATTTTTGCAGCAAAACCCAGCAGCCTTCATTATGTTTTTTTGTCTGAAAAGTCGTCACTTCTGTAATATGCTGCTTTCTTTACTGACATACAAACATTTTTCTGTAACATTTAATTTTGTGCTGGAAAACTAAAGTTTGGAAATCTAAAATGTTTTTGTACTGAATCAATAATATAGATTATTAAAAGATTAATAAAATAAAAATCTATAACAAAGTTTGTACGAAAAAAAAAAAATAGGGTGTCTAAGACTTTTGCACAGTACTGTATATACAACTCTCTGGTTCCAATAAATAGCCAAAATATTATTTGTACACATTTAACCCATTCATGTGTCCACACTTATGTGAAGTCAATTTAAGGCTATTTTTTTTTGAAAATGTAAGCTGTAACCATTTCCAAATCACGTGAGACGATTAATGTAATTATCCTGATGTCTGTTTCTCTGTAGACTATTTGCCATTCTCAGTGCAGCATGTGTCTAGTATATCTTTACAGACCACAAAATCCCAAATTAAATAAATTTTAAAAAAAATGTGCCTTCTTGTGACTCCAACAAACACCTCTGCTTTTTTAAAACTTTTTTTTTTTTTTTAATTGAAGAAAGCCTTTTTTGTGTGCATATAAATGTAAAAGAATATTTCTGAGAATACTTTCTTCAAAAATGATATTTTGGTCATTAAATAATTTAGACCTGATTTTTAACTATTTTTCTTTATAATCATATTGGAAGATTTTTTTTCCAGGAATGTCATTTTGGGGTTTTTCACTCATAGCATTCCTATACCTGGTCAATATATATACACAGTCAGGTCCGGAAGTATTTGGACAATGACAGAGTTTTTGTGATTTTGCCTTTATACACCACCACAATGGATTTGAAATAAAACAATCAAGTTGTGATCGAAGTGTAGACTTTCAGCTTTATTTTAAGAGGTTCCACAAAAATATTGCATTTACCATTTAGGAATTACAGCCATTCTAG